AGCCCCCCACCAGAGCAGCGGGATGCCAATGCGAAGCAGGCAGTTCAGACAGCCAAAGCGATGCAGACAGAGTTGTCCATAGGCTTCATGCTCAGGCATGTTGGCAGCGACGCGGGCACCAGCAAGTACTCCTTCATCAGCGTTCCATGCGTGACTCCTCTGCGAGCACTGGACCACGGCACGGCTGAATGCATCAAACATTGTCTCAATTATAACCTCGAGAGTATCCCTGGGCTTCACGAGTTGTTCGGGGACGTTGGCGAGTTGTTCTACATCAGTTGCTCAGACCGCGCCTCCGCCAACCGCAAGTACGAGAAGGATGCAGTTTCGCAGGGCCAGAACCGGCTGAGTTTGGATTGCGACGGCCACAAGGCTTCTAGTGCGCAGGGGGCCCAGTTCAGCGTTGTCAAGGCAGATATTTCAGGCGTCGTCAATTTCGGTTTTGTCATGCGGAATTCTGGCGCTGCCGCGCAGTGGCGACAAGTAGTCAAGACGTGGGTGCGCGCGAAGCTTCGCGTGCATGAGGGCGCATTCCCATTGCCCGAGCACAGTTTTGTCGGCAAGTACAGGACAGTCATGATAGATTTTTTCTTCCCAGAGACTGGCGCCTGCCCTCGCGATCGGCATCTCCCATGGCCCTCGGCCCGCCCCGCCACCGCGCCACTCATTGGATTTCATGGGGGTCTTTCGGGGCGCTCCACGGGAATTTATTTTCAGGGGCAGGTCTGGGCCTCTTAGATTCCAGGGGTTTCTTGGTTGGGTGGGGCGTCTCCCTGCGTTACCCCTGCTTGACATGCGTTTGGGGCCCGCGGCCTCTCGGCTTCGCCTCGCAACCGTCTGTCTCGGCGCCCGTTGTCTCGGGCTCTCCTGGCGGCCTCCCCGCTCTCAGGCTTCCAGGCAGCCCCTCTCGGCGCGTTCGCGGGGGCCCCTTGGGCCCGCGCGTCGGACATTCGAGAACATTCGGAGAACTTCCGCAGCATTGAACCGAACATATGGGAAGAATTTGTGACTCTTGAGTCTTGGGGCGCCCAATTCACGGTCGTCTTGGATCTTCAGTGGGGGCAATTCGAGGCCACGCAGGCCATCTCAGCGCCGTCTGTGGCGTCTTGGAGCGTTCTTGGGCAGTCTAAGTCTTCGGGATCCTCTTGAGCCCTCCTGGGCTCTTCCTGGGGCCTCGAGGGCGCAACCAGCAAAGAGGCCGCCGGCAAATTTGAGGGCGCGCCACTTCGCGCGCAGGCACGGCGGACTTACGCGGCAAGCTCAGCAGGTATATGAACGGCGATTGGCGGCCCCTCCACGTATCTCACCATTGCCCGCCCGGGTGCTGCCCCGGGGGAAAGAGAGGAGACATTTCGACACATGTTTGAGATCATGGATTTGATGTTCGACAAGGCTCTGCCGCTCTGGCCTCGACATCGGCGGGCAGGCAGCGAATTGTCCTTGGACTGGGCCAGCCCCCCCGCAGCGACGCATGAGTTGCCCCCGCAGCGCGTCAGGGTTTTCACGAAGTGCGCCCAGGAGAGACGTGATGCTCTCGTCAGTGATTCCTCTCGCTTCGCGGGGTGCACGTCCGGAGCACGTGCAGTCCAGCCGTTGTGGGGCCTTTTGGGTGCCTCCTGGGGGGTTCTGGGATGCTTCTTGGGGGCTTCCTGGGGCCTCTTGGGGGCCCCTCCTGGGGGCCTCTTGGGGGCTTTTTGGGGGCGTCTTGGGCCGTCTTGGGCCGTCCTGGGACGCTTTTGCGCCGTTTGGCCCCTTCGGGGGCCTTTTTGGTAGCCTCTCGCGGCCGCCTTGGGGCTCTCTTGGGGTCCTCCTGGGCCGTCTTGGGGGCCTCTTGGACCGTCTTGGGGGCCTCTGTGGGCCGTCTTGGGGCCCCCTTGGGTGCTGCTTGGGTTGTCTTGGGGCCATTTTGGAGGCTGCTTGGGCCGTCATGGGCCTCTGAGAGCCGGAAAAGGCGAGAACGCTAAAATCCATCAAACACCTAAGGAAAATCTATGGTTTTGGCTCCTGGAGGCGTTCTGGTGGGCGCTCTTAGGGCCCTCTTGGGCCATCTTGGGGGCTTTTTGGGCCCACTTGGGACCCCCTTGAGCCGTCCTGGGGCAGTCTTGTCCCGTCTTCGGACCATCTTGAGCCGTCTTCACGCCCTCTTGGGCCCCCAAGAGGCCGAGGAGGGCCAAATTCTTGATTTTCCATAAGTTTTTGTACGTTCTTGGGCCCCAGAAGAGTTTGGTTGGGAGTGTTGGATTAGTTCAGTGTTTTCGTCAGTTGATTCGGATGGGTTGGGTACGTCACCGGATAACTCTCGTGGCGCGCCGGGAGGTCAGGCTGGGGGCCCTGGCCGCCGCTGCGCTCTGCCCTCTGCCCTTCCCCTGCCTAGCCCTGGGAGGAGGAGGAGGAGGAGGAGGAGCAGCAGCAGGAGGAGGGACAAAGGTGGAGGCCTCCAGAGGCTTCCGGAGGCCTCCCGAGGCCCGAAAAGTGCCAGAGGCCATTCGAACACCATGAC